CGTGATTCACCTACCTCGGCCTCCCAAAGTGCTGGGATTACAGGCATGAGCCACCACTCCCGGCCACATGTTTAGTTTTTGTCTGTTTGTTTGTTTGTTTGTTTTTAAGTGTAAGTTATTTATTTAAGCCATCTCCTGCCACAAGCAAAGGGATGGAAGACCAGTATACCAGTCGTCATTTGATACAAGAAGATGAACTTAAGGTCCCGTATACTTTTTCTGATCCATGTGCAGAGTAATGGTCCAAACCAGTGCTGTGGTCCCTGGTGCCCAGGTAGTGGTCCAGATTCTCTTTATTCATCTTCGTAGCCAGTTGGAAGTGGATTCACATGAGGGTTATGGAATAGAGTATGGTTACCATCTCCCCAGGGAAACGGCTTGGTCCTGATGCGGAGATGAGGGTAGGCGATGAACTCGGGTCTCTCGTGCTCTCCGTGGTGTGACTTCAGGTACACATTCAGCATGCTGACTGCCACCCCAGGGAGCGCGACGAAGAAGGTGAGGGTCTTCCACATGCGAGCTGATTCCTCTTCACCATGGGCACCACTCAACATAGGCCACCCCAGCTGTGGGCCGGACTGACCCAGCAGCCAAGAAACCCAGGACACACCAACTGCCGCCATTTTCGACCTGGACTACTCCACATGTTTAGTTTTTAAAAGAAACTGCCAAACTGTTTTCGAGAGTGGCTTTATCATTTTATATTCCCACCAGCAATGCATGAATGATCTGGTTTCTCTGCATTCTCACCAATACCTGGTGTTGTCTCTATTTTCAACTGGAGCCATTCTGATAGATATGTAGTGATATTTTGTTGTGGTTTTAATTTGCATTTCCCTGATGTTTAATGATAAATATCTTTTCATGTGTTATTTGTCATCTGTATATCTTCTTTGGTTAGATGTCTTCATGTTTGCCAATTTTCTAATTAGACTGTGATTTTACTGTTGAGTTGAGAGGGTTCCTTATATTTTCTAGTCCTCTGTTGGATATATGGTTTATAAATATTTTCTCCCAGTCTGTAGCTTGGTTTGCAGTGGCACGATCATGGCTCATTGCACTCTTGATCTCTTTTTTTTTTTTTTGAGACAGAGTCTCGCTCTGTCACCTCAGGCTGGAGTGCAGTGGCTCAATCTTGGCTCACTGCAAGCTCCACCTCCCAGGTTCACACCATTCTCCTGCCTCAGCCTCCCCGAGTAGCTGGGACTACAGGTGCCCGCCACCACGCCCAGCTAATTTTTTCTATTTTTTAGTAGAGACGGGATTTCACTGTGTTAGCCAGGATGGTCTCAATCTCCTGACCTCGTGATCCACCCGCCTCAACCTCCGAAGTGCTGGGATTACAGTCATGAGCCACTGTGCCTGGCTGCACCCTTGACCTCTTAAGCTCACATGATCCTTCCACTTCAGCCTTATTAGTTGCTGGGACCACAGGTATGCAACACCACCCTGGCGTTTTTTTATTTTTTGTAGAGACAGTATCTGGGAGCCTTGCCATGCTGCCCGGGCTGGTCTTGAACTCTCCTGGGCTCCAAGCAATCTTCCTCCTTGGCCTCTTAAAGTCCTGGGATTATGGGTGTGAGCCACTGCACATCGGCCCAGTTGCTTTTTTTTTTTTTTTTGGAGACAGAGTCTCCTCTGTTGCCAAGGCGTGGAGTGCAGTGGCGAGATTTCAGCTCACTGCAAATCTGCCACCAAGTTCAAGCAATTCTCCTGCCCGGCCCCCAAGTAGCTAGGATCACAGGCACCCGCCGCCACACCCAGCTAATTTTTGTATTTTTAGTTTAGAAGAGGTTCACCATGCCGGCCCAGGCTGGTCTCGAATTCTTGGCCTCCAAGTGATCTACCTGCTTTCTTGCCGCCCAAACTGCTGGGAATTATATAGGCGTGAGCCATTGTGCCCAGCCTCAGCTTGCATTTTGAGGAATGAAAGCTTCCCACCTTCTGGAGTTTCATTCTGCCTTGAAGACTACCATCGGACTGTCTAAGGCAGGCGGTCTAAAAAGGGAACTCTTAAATACATATACAATAAGTTCTACCCTGAAGATTCTGGCTCAGGGATCTAGAATGGATTTTTTTTTTTTTTTTTTTTGAGACAGAGTCTTGCTCTGCCACCCAGGCTGGGGTGCAGTGGCCGGATCTCAGCTCACTGCAAGCTCCGCCTCCCAGGTTTAGGCCATTCTCTCCTGCTCAGCCTCCTGAGTAGCTTGGGACTACAGCGCCGCCACCTCGCCCGGCCTAGTTTTTTTTTTTTGTATTTTTTTAGTAGAGACGGGTTTCCACTGTGTTAGCCAGGATGGTCTCGATCTCCTGACCTCGTGATCCGCCCGTCTCGGCCTCCCAAAGTGCTGGGATTACAGGCTTGAGCCACCGCGCCTGGCCTAGAATGGATTTTATCTGGGGACCTGCTGTCAGCCATTACCTATACTCCCAAGCCAGCCAAGCCTGACCTCACCAGATCTGGCCACTTCAGGTCTACAGCAGGAGAAACTGAGTGGCTGGGTATGGCTTTGAGGGCAGAAGCCAGTCACAAAGGCAAGAAGGTGGTCTTGGGACAGATTCCTGCTGAAGCCTGCAGGCCTAAAAGATGGTCTTTCTCTGCCTGGGAGTGGAGCAAGGCTCTAGCTCCAACTGAGCCAAAGTAAATTCCCTTGGGCCAGAACCTTCTGTCCCTGTTCATTAATTTTTTTTTTTTCCTGTCGCCCAGGCTGGAGTGCAATGGCACGATCTCGGCTCGCTGCAACCTCTGTCTCCCAGGTTTAAACAATTATCCCGCTTCAGCCTCCTGAGTAGCTGGGATTACAGCCAGACATCACCACACCCAGCTAATTTTTTTGTGTGTTTTAGTAGAGACGGGGTTTCACCATGTTGGCCAGGTCGGTCTTGAACTCCGACCTCAAGTGATCTGCCCGCCTCAGCCTCCCAAAGTGCTGGGATTACAGGCGTAAGCCACCACACCCAGCCTAATTTTTGTATTTTTTTTTTTTTTTTTTTTTTTTTTTTTTTTTTTGAGACGGAGTCTCGCTCTGTCACCCAGGCTGGAGTGCAGTGGCGGGATCTCAGCTCACTGCAAGCTCCACCTCCCGGGTTTACCGCCATTCTCCTGCCTCAGCCTGCCGAGTAGCTGGGACTACAGGCGCCCGCCACCTCGCCCGGCTAGTTTTTTTTTTTTGTATTTTTTTAGTAGAGACGGGGTTTCGATCTCCTGACCTCGTGATCCGCCCGTCTCGGCCTCCCAAAGTGCTGGGATTACAGGCTTGAGCCACCGCGCCCGGCCTAATTTTTGTATTTTTAGTAGAAACGGGGTTTCAGTATGTTGGCCAGGCTGGTCTCAAACTTCTGACCTCAGGTGATTCACCTGCCTCGGCCTCCCAAAGTGCTGGGATTACAGGTGTGAGCCACCGTGCCCAGCCTGTTTATTGATTTAACAGCAACATTTATTGAGCAGTGCTGGAGTTATAGATATGAGCAAGACAGACTACCTTTGCCCACAAGAAGCTTATGTTCTAATGGCGGGGCATGCGATGTTCTCATCGGTGGGGGGAACATCATATAGAATAATATAGTATGTTAGCAGGTGAAAAATGCACGGTTAGAGTGATGGAACCATTGGCCTAGTGCTCAAGGAAGGAAGAGGGAGGTGTGAGGGAATTATCTGGCCAGGAGAAGGAACAGGTGGTGCAAAGCCCTAAGTGGGAGCACCTGGTATGTCTGAGGAGCAGTGGGGAAATCAGTGTGGCTGGAGGTAACAGAAGGACCAATATCGTGTGGGTCTCACAGACCACTATGATGACTTTGGCTACCACAAATAGGAGGAACTGTTGTGAATTTTCAGCAAATGAGATGTGCTCTCATTTATGTACTAACAGAATTATGCTGGCTGCAAAGTGGACAACAGACTGGAGGGGCAAGTTTGAAAGCAGGGACACCAGGCAGGAAGCTCTTGCAATAATTCAGGCAAGAGGCCGGGCGCGGTGCCTCACGCCTGTAATCCTAGCACTTCGGGAGGCCGAGCCGGGTGGATCACAAGGTCAGGAGATAGAGACCACGGTGAAACCCCGTCTCTACTAAAAATACAGAAAATTAGCCAGGCGCGGTGGCAGGCGCCTGTAGTCCCAGCTACTCGGGAGGCTAAGGCGGGAGAATGGCCTGAACCCAGGAGACGGAGCTTGCAGTGAGCCGAGATCGTGCCACTGCATTCCAGCCTGGGGGACAGAGCGAGACTCTGTCTCAAAAAAAAAAAAATTCAGGCAAGAGAGGAATGTGGCTTGGATCGGGGAAAACAGTGGGCATGCTGAGACGTGGTCTGGTCCTGGGCACATTTTGACCACAGTATCAACAGGATACTGGCACATTCAATGTGGGGTATGAGAGAAGAGAATCTAGGGGACTCAAGGTGTTTGACAGGATCTGGCTGCCGTAGTCTGAGCTGGGGGAGGCTGTAGGTGGAGTGTGTCTGGGACGACCCAAAGCTCAGTCATATGTTTGGAGATGCCCAATTGGGCATTTACATGGAGATGTGGAGTAGGCAGTTGTCTACTGAGCCCAGAGTTCAGGAGAAAATTTGAGCTGGAGATAGAAATTCCAGTTTTCAGATGGCATTTAGGGCCAAGAGTCTGGGTATGTTGATGGGGGAGTAAGTGTGGATGCAGGGGAGGAGAGGACTCAAGTGCTGGGCAATCAGAGTTAAGGCCTAGCTTGAAACTCAGCCACTGCTCCCCTGATGGGAGGATGTACTGGCAGATGCCTCCTTATCGAGGACCCTCCTCAATAAGGGTTCCATGGTCTTCTGCTTCAGGGAAAGTCCCAGGTTGAGATATCCCAGGATTGAAGTGTTGCTTTAATTAGTCTCTGTCCTCTGTCTGTTGGCAGTTTAGCAGCTTAGGGGCAGTGGCTCCTGGCGACTTCCCTCCATTAGGGACCCTGAGGCAGTGATCCGGGTAAGGGCGGGTAAATAAGCATCATTTTCCTATTCACTTTCTTTCTCACTATCTTTCAAGGAGCCGGCGCAGCAACACTTCTTCTCCAAGCATGACAACCGTACTTCCTTTGACAAAGTGAGTGCCGAAGAGAGGAAGAATGGCAAGCAGTCCCCCAGCCTAAGTTGAAGTCTGGACAGAGCAGGTGGTAGGGTGGAGGGGATGACACTGAGGGAGGGCTCCTTATGAAGGCAGAGGAGTGGCTATCTTCCCCCACAAACTTTTTCCTCTGGGAAACAGCCTATTCCCCCAAACAGAGACATCTCTATGTTGGTTTCCTCTGCCAGCTTGCCAGACAATGTGCAAGTATCCTGTGGGCCACTAACTTTCTGGGTGCTTCACCTTAGAATGAAAGACATCACTGGGGAGACAGGCCAAGGAGGCCAGGGTACAGGCCAAGACAGCCCGGCCTAGGACAGGCATCACCAAGCAGACTGGGGGTTAGGAAGGGTCCAAGAAGGTGCTTGGTGCCAGGAATATGGGCCAATGGCCCGTACCGTTGAGGAGGGCCCCTACTGCCTGCTGCAGGGAATTGGAAGGCGGAAGGACCTGGAGCGCCTGTGGCAGCGGCACACCTTCCTGCGCTGGGCACCCTGTGAGATAGAGTTGCGCCAGCAAGGGCCCCTGGAATCTTCTTACCAGGCTGATTTCCGACCAGGCCCAGGACTCAGTGGCCTCCCCCAGCGCCTCGTCCACTTTGTGCAGGTCCAGCCTTCCCATGCCAGGACCACCTACCAGCAGAACTTCTGCTACCCATCCCGGGGTGGCCACTGTGGCAGTGACAAGGTAGGGCCCCAAGCGCCAGTCACAGACATACTGCCTGACCTCCCAGTGATCCCAAGACCCAAGCTGCTGCAGCACTACCTTCATGCTGGGGTCTCTGAGTGTCTAAACTGGTCCAGAGCATTAAACAAGGACAGCTGACACAGCAGCCTCTCTGTGCTTGCAGCCCACAATGGGATGCAGCCCAAGAGGATGAAAGGTAGTAATGGGCTGCCAGGTCCTGTGCCTGTCTTCCATGGCACTTGTGCCCATGGTGTTTGTGTGCTGGGCATGGGAGGTGCTGCTCTGGGATCCCTGCCACTAAGTGAGAAAGGGGAGGCTAAGAGTCCAGGAGGGTTGCCATAGCCACAGCAGGTGGGTTCCAGGGTCCCAAATACTACTCTGTTCTTGTAGCAAACCCAGCTGTAGAGAGGAAGATTAGAGGGCAGTCCCCAGCCTAAGTTGAAGTCAGGACAGAGCAGGTGGTAGGGTGGAGGGGGTGACACTGAGGGAGGGCTCCTTATGAAGGCAGCAGAGTGACTATCTTCCCCACCACCTTTCTCTTCTGGGAAACAGCCTATTCCCCCAAACAGAGACGTCTCTGTGTTGGTCTCCTCTGCCAGCTTGCCAGACAATGTGCAAATATCCTGTGGGCTGCTGACTTTCTAGGTGCTTCACCCTAGAATGAAAGGCATCACTGGGAAAGCAGGCCAAGTATTCAGTGTAGCTATGGGGAAAGCAGACCCCAGAGACCTGTACTAGCAGGCAACAAAGGCTGGAAGAAGGAAGAGTTAGCAGCTTTCTCAGGAGGCAGCTGCCTTCGAGGGGGTTGTTGGATGGCCACACAGTCCTGTCCAAGAGACGGCTGCCCCACAGCTGAGGCAGGAGACTGCCCTGGGCCACAAAACCCACTGAACCACCCCTCCCTGTGGGGGTGAGCAGAGACCCTAAGGAGACACTCTGTAACTTGGATCTGGAGGTCTTCCTAACCCTGTGGTATTTTGTTGTTGTTTTCTGAGCACTTCTCTCGTCATCCTATCCCGCCATCCTTTGGTGACATGTGACAGCCCTTCCTTACTGTCCTAGTGCTCTCTAATCCCCATGACAGTAAGGAGGTGCTGTCATCACATGTTGCCAAAGAATAAGCTCTGGCTTAGATGGAACAGAAATACCAAATCACTTTGGGAACACCCACCAGATCCAAGAGGCTCCTTCTGGACCCTCATCCCTAGGAGCATTGAGACCCCCAAAGGAAGGCAGGGGCAGTGGAAGCAACAAGGGAGTTCACACCAGCGTCCACACACTAGGTTTTAGCAGCACTTTTACTTCCACATCCAAACTCCCTGGGTCCTCACAACAGCCCTGTGAGGTAGGTAGGGTAGGAAGGTTTCAGAGATCCCCATTTATAGATGAGGATGCTGAGGCACAGAGAGGTGAAGTGACTTGTCCAAGGTCATACAACCAGCAGTGTAGAGGGCCCAAAGCCAGCATTCCTCTGCTTGAACTCCTGCGCTCTGGCCCTCTGGCAGGTCCCACATCCTCTCTATTCTCTCTGTGTCCCCCACCCTCTCAACTCTCCTGGGTCTACAGGGACCCTAAAGGCAGCCTGGCATCTGGGATTTTTCAGGAATGGCAACTGGGGTGGGCCTGGTCAACTCCAGATAGGAACTGACCCTGAAGAACATGAGGCCAGCTTTCCTTCTCCCCATTTCCCAGTTGGATGGAAGGCCTAGTAGGTCCCAGGGCAAGGATGGAGCTAGGCATGATTCATGAAAGAATGGTGATAAAGGTAGGTGTAAGTGTATGTGTGTCCTGCACTAAAGGCAAAGGCTCCCCTAACCCAAGGCCCCAAGGCAGTGTCTCAAGTGCTCACCCCTGTGCCTCTCTCATCCCACAGAGCCACAGTGAGTGTCCTCAGCAGCAAAAGGAGCCATAGAAATAGCTGCCTCTGGCAATGAGCTGCTCCAGTGGACAGCTCCCACCAGGCCTTCAGACCCCATCACGCAGACATAGTGCCTCCACGGCTTGACTGGGGCCCTGGGCCACACCCCCAATAACAAACAGCCGGGGCCCAGCCTGCAGACTAGAGCAGGAGCAGCGGGCAGTGGGCATGGCTGGCAATGCCTCCCAGCGCCTCCTTGCAAGGCTAAAGCTCTCCACAGAGCCCAAAGGACATGGCTGGTTTCCTGCAAGAAGGAGAGAGAAGGCTGTGAGAGGCACAGGCTGTAGGGACTCCAGGCCCTTCTGCTCCCTGAGCCCAGAGAATAGCCCAGTAGGTATCACCCCAGGATGAGCTATCAGTGCCTTGCTCTTCATTGCCTGTGTTCATCATTTGTTCATTCATTCATGTTTCTATATGTCCTCTTGACTGTGCATACAGTGGTCATTTCTCCTGCTGCTGTCTCGTAGACCCTTGCTGGTGCTTGACAGAGCCCCCAGTCACTGAGGAACACCCTGAGTCCTGGGCCAGGGAGACCACATCCTGCCTGCTTCACAGATAGGGAAAAGAGCTCACAAAGCCCTGACCCCTGGAGTGCCTGGAGATGGGCAGAAGGTGGCACACATGCTGGGGGCTACTCTTGCCTGTCTTGGGACTCCCTCCTCTCCCCAGCCCCATAGAGACTTACCAAGGCCCCCAATGGCCACAATGTGGCCCCCAAGGGACCCAACCACAAAGTCTGCCCTCTTATCCCTCATGCGCAGGCTGCGGGGCAGTTTGGTCCAGGACCCTGCAGGAGAGGGGAGGTCAGATCTAGTGACGTATGCACTATGCCCCTCCATCCCACAGAGAGTGGCAGGACAGCCCAGGACAGCCACTGCTCACCATGCTCCAGGTCAAACATCTCCACAGTGTTGACAAAGTGTGGGCGAGAGTAGAAGTTGTGGGGCCCAGGCTGCTGCAGGCCACCCAGGCTAAAGACGCTGCCTTCAGCCATGGCGCAGCCAGCAAAGGCCCGACGGCTGGGTAGGCTTGGATGCCGGGTCCATGTACGGGCCTCCAGATCAAAGGCTTCAAAAGCAGTCACCGGGAGCTTGCCCTGGCGGCCCCCTGTCAATGGAATTCGGGTACCTGGGAAGGAGCCCAGGAGGCTTGGTGTGCTCCTTACTCACTAGGTTGCTGATCTGCCTGCCTCAGCCTCCCACATCCTGCTGTGTGCACACTTGCACATGAATCATCCACCCTACAGTCCCTCAGATACTGGGGTTTGGTTTTCCAACCACAGCAAGAGCACCAGGGGTCAGAGCCTCAGAGCAGGCATGGATCACCCCAACAAAGCTTATTTTGTTCTGCCATCCTGGACTAAGCCCGATCCCTATCCCAGCCAACCTATGAGGATGAGGATTTCTAAACTCTGAGCCCCTTTCCCACATCCCCCAGGCCCTTACCCAGGACATAGATCTTGTTCCCATGCAGGAAGGTGGAGGCCCCATAGCAGGGTGTGGGCATGGAGGGTAGCGAAAGCCAGCAGTCCCGACGGGGCTCATACACACATACCTGGGCCTGGGGGGCCGTGTCAGGGCCCATTCCCCCCAGAGCATACACCATACCATCTGCATAGAAAAGAGTAGTTCAGATTGTACCCCAGCCTGCCAGGGTACCCCACCCTGACAGCTGCCCTGGTAAGGCCTGGGGGTGGCTGAAGACCCATGTGTTTATGGCATCCCTCGCCAGGAACAGACACTCTACTACCTGCCTGCAGTGGGGGCTGGGAGAGCTGGGATTCCTACTCTGGCCAGGGCCCCTCTGAGTAAAGAGCAGGAGGCAGCTGATCTAATTATAATCCGACTCTGTCTCCCTGGAGATGCTATGGCAACAGAGTCTGGCATCCAAGCAGGGCTGGCCTGGGCTGGTGGTCAGACCTGGAGGCCAGAAGGTGGGGACTCCCCTCGGGGAGGAATATGGGGTATGGCTTAAGCCAGGGTGAGAAACATGGGGACCGATCTGCTTAGCACAGAGCTCAGTCTGGGGAGGGGGATTGGGGACCAGCTGGAGTTGGAGATGGGGCTGGGAGAGGAATGGCTTGGGTCTGCTGGGTAAAGATACTGTCCACAAGCCTTCTGCCCCAGGATCCCTGCCAGCACCTGTGTGTGACACTCTTTCATTAGAGTAGGCTCTCACCCTCTGTTAAACCCTCAGAGTCAGCTATGATATGTCTGGGGGCCTTGGGGTAATGGGCCAGTCAGCTGGGGGCTTCCATGGGAACCATCCCAGGTCATTTGGCCTTTGTCCATATCAGGCTCTCTGGTGTGTGGGAAGGGTTGGGGGTGGGGCAGGAAGTCTAAGCACAGGCTCTGAGCGGAGGCCCTACTCCTCTCCCCAATCCCAGACTATTTATAACCCTGGGAGTCATTAGGCCATTCCACCCCCATCTCTTAGAAATGAGGAGTGGGGCAAGAACATGGCTAGGGTCTCCCATCATCCTGGGATTGGCTTGGGCTCTGCCTCCCACCTTAGCCAGAAAAGGCAGTTAATAGAAGGCTGCTGAAAGCCTAGCTCAAAGCTAGGCTGGAAAGGATACAGGGGATGAGGCCACATCCTGGGCACCCATGTAAAAATTACAGCTCTTGTTTAGTCTCTGAGGGTAAGGGACTAGGTCAGGAAATAATAAAAGGTGTTAGGGTACCTGAAGTGCCTTCCTTGGGACGCCACTCACCTCTCTCCACAGTTGCAACCCCCATGGCTGCTTGAGGGAGGGTGGCCCGACGCTCCCAGCGGCCCTCATCCATCAGGAAGGCCTCTACAGCAGCTACTGGGCTCTGGACCTCATCCACACCACCCACTACTAGCACCTGCTTGCCCAGAACTACCGCAGCTGCTCCAGCCCGGGCAGTGGGCAGGGGTGCCAGTGCCAGCCATGTGTGCGAGGCCATGTCCAGTGTCTCAGCAGTGTCCAAGGGCAGTCCAGCCCGGCCACAACCCCCCAACACCAGCAGGTGCCCATCTTGGTGTGCCACTGTGCCATAGACCCGGCAAGTGGGCATGGGGGGGAACACCTGCCAAGCAAAGGCCCGGCCACCTCCTGCAGACATGGTGTTCACTGCCAATGGCAGGCCATGCTGTCTGCTCAGACTGTAGGCCTCACTGGGGAGGCATGACAGGGCCTCATCTTGATTCTGCCAGGGCCACAAGAGGTATATGACCAGTCCAGGGACCTTGCCTTCACCTGGAGGAAACAGGGAAAACAGGGGTCAGGGCCACTGACCATCCCCTCAGGAAACAGATAAGCAGCCCATAGCTGAGGGCAGGGCTAGCCCAAAATCACTGGTGGGAAAGGCAGGGGGAGAACCCAGCCCCTCTGGCTAGTACATCACTGTGGAGGCCCTCCTGGAGTGGGAAGGAGGGTAGACCCCAGGTACCCAGGAGCTTTTCCCCTTTCCCACTGGGGCATGAAGGATTCTGCTTCCCACCCACTACCCTAACCATTCAGCAACTGGGTCAAATCTGGGTCTAGGCGGGCGGTAGTAAGGTCATTAGAACAGGACTCTCCATCCAGGACCCTTCCTTTCCCCTCAACAAGCCTCACACTGGTCCTGCATGAGGGGAGTCCTACTATATCCTCCCCTTACTGGCTTCCAGAGTGCCCTGGGCAGCCTAGGGGTCCCCACGCCTACTGTCAGGGGTCAGACTCCAGAGTATCCTTACAACATCCTGGGGGCCATTCTACAGGGTTAAACTATTCCCACCAGTAAAAGGCCAGAGTCAGGCTGTGTTTCTGACTAGGGGAAGGACTGCACACCAGGGTTCCACACTCTCCTCTGGAGGTCCCCCACAGGAGTTTGCCCATTCCAAACCCCCCAGAAGCCAGATTTCCTGGTGTCCAGAAGTGGGATGGGGGGGCCGTTGGGGGAATCTCATGACCACAGGACTCCAGGGTCCGAGTTCAGGGCGTTTCCAGGAGGAATGGGCAGCTGGACTTCTGGGTTCCCTCGCAGCAGATCCCCAAGTTCTCCAGCCACCCCTTTCTCTTGGGGGCTACACTCCTGGACCCCTGGCAGGAGGGCCTCCTGGCCCCAAACTTCCAGTTCAAGGATGTGGGGGGCGGGTCTGGGCTAACGCGCTTGGGGTGCTACACCCCGCGCCCCAAACTTCCCCTGAGCGCGGTTCCCGCGGGACTCACCCGCCGGTGCTCCGATGCAGCTAGGGCACGGGGTCCGCCGTTCGGCCTCCGCTGACGCTGGATCTGGCTGGGGCTGAAGTCGGGCTCTGGTGGGGCTCCGGCACTGCTCCGGCGCGGGGCGGGGCTGGGCCAGGTCCGCCCCTCGCCCCCCTCCCCCTGCGACTCAGAGAAACCTCCGCCCGCCTTAACCCTGCACATGCCGCAGCTGGAGCAGGGCGTGCCGATCCACGGTCACACGCAAACGGACAGATAAACGGACACGTGGACATTGGGCCTGACAGCATTTAGCGTCCGACCTCGGGCAGGAGTAGAAATGAGGCAGCGGCGAGCGACACAACACGTGTATGGCAAGGGGCAGTTCTGAGCCCTACCCAGCCTGGGTGCGCAGGCTGTGTAGGGCACGCCAGCCGAACCCGAGGGCTTGGGGGGCCGGCGCCTGCCCACCTCCGCTGAGCTCCCAGGAGCCCAATGACAGGCTTCCCGGCGGCGCCCCCTGGAGGCCACTGGGGGCATGGCCTGGGCCTCTGTCATGTGGGGGCAGCCTGGGTCGCCCTTACCTGGGCATAAAGCAGGAATAGGTCTTACAGTGTACACTGAGGCTAGCGGGGGTGGAGGAACAGAAAGTACCGACCCTTCTACAAACCTGGGTGGGGAGAATTCCTGGAGGGAGTGATACTGAGCAGAGGATGTGCTGGAAGAGTCAGAGACCAGGGGACCTCCCAAGTGGGTCACTCTGGCCTTATCCTGTAGGGCCTGAGAGACCTGGGCTACTATACATGTTTAGGATCCTGGGCTTGCCTCTAACCAACTCTGGGGTCAAGCAAGAGCAAACTGGAGTGACAGGGGCCCACCTATATCAGGCCCAGACCTTGGCCCTGCCTATCTTCTGAGCATTCAGAGTATTAGCTAAGTCTTCAAGCTGGGGGCCCATTTGTACAGGTCAGTGGTACCTGTGGGAAGAGGTCCTTGCAGTTGTCTGTGTCTGCTCACTGCCTTGTCCCCCTTTCATGGACAGTGCTTATCTTAGTTCCCCCAAAGTAGACCTGGACAAAGATATACATGCATATAGTTAGTATGGGAGGTGAGGCCAAGAAACACCAGCAGTGGCAAGGAGACAAGGAAAGCAGCCAATAAAGGAAGTGTCATCAAGCAAGCTACCACTGTGGGCAATTGGGACCAAATCCTGCTGGGGATTCTGGGAGCCAGCATAGAACATAGGCCTTACATTATTGCTGCCCCCAAGAGCAAGGGGAGCTGAGGTACTCATTCTCAAATCTCCATTAGTCATGGGTTGAGAGCTGTTTGGCGGCATTACCTATTAACTCCCTGGCCTACCTCACATCTGGCCTTCCCAGAAGTCTATGGGTAGACCCTTCCCCATGACCAGAGAAGAGAGCCTTCGCCCTTTTCAGGGACTGTCAGCTGGATTCAGTCGGCCTGCACAGAAATGGTGGTGCCAAGACTGGTTACAGACTGCACAGACCCTGACTTGAAGGCCTCAATTCTCCTTGTCCCACTTCACCTTGGACTTGCTCTTCAGTGCCCTCACTTGGGGGCACTGTTGCCACCCTCTTGTGATTGCCAATAGGCTTCCAAGAGGCTCACACTGCCCTGCAGTCCCCTTCACATTTGCTACTGTTCCCTTTCCAAGCTCCTTCCCCCTACTTTCCAGCAATTAAGCACTTACAAGCCACTTGCCTTTAGATACCTCCCAACACCCCAAGCCCTCTAGTCTCCCCTTCCTCCCCTCCAGTCAAACTCTTGAAGCCATCTGTCCTCACAGCCTCCACCTTCTTGTTACTTGCCACCTCAGCGTGTGCTGCCACTCCTCCCCAAAAGTTGTTCTTGGAGGCCGGGCGCGGTGGCTCAAGCCTGTAATCCCAGCACTTTGGGAGGCCGAGACGGGCGGATCACGAGGTCAGGAGATCGAGACCATCCTGGCTAACCACGGTGGGAAGCCCCGGTCTCTACTAAAAAAAAAAAAAAAAAAAAAAAAAAAAAACTAGCCGGCGTGGTTGCGTTGCGCCGCCGGTGTGTGAGTCCCAGCTACGTCGGTGAGGCTGAGGCAGGAGAAATGAGTGAACCCGGGAGCAGAGCTTTGCAGTGAGGCTGAGACGCCCAGCGTGCACTCCAGCCTGGCGAACACACAGGACTCTCGTCTCAGAATAAAGGAAGAAAGAAAAAAAAAATTGTTCTTGGAAAGGTGGTTATTGCATGATATTTACCATAGAAAGCTAAAAGCTATATGGCGGTGGTGGGTGTGTGGTGCCTTTAACAAATCTTGCTAGGCATCTTTCAAGGTAGTTTTGCCCTTGTGAGCCTCAACTTCCTCCTTGGCTGCTGTGTCCTGCCTGCTCAGAATGCCTTTTGTTTGTTTTTTGTTGGACCCCGTCTCACTGGTTGCCCAGGCTGGAGTGTAGTGGTGCGATCTGGCTCGCTTGGCAAGCTCGCCTCCCCAGGTTCCATGCCATTCTCGCTGGGCGTAAGCCTCAGCCGAGTAGCGGACTCACAGGGCCCGCCACCGGACCGCGGCTGGCTTCTATTTTCTTTTTTGTATTTTTGAGTAGAGAACGGGGTTTTTTTCCACTGTGTAGCCCAGGGATGGTCATCGAGGATCTCCCG